GAGTGTGTGTGTGTGTGTGTGTGTGTGTGTGTGTGTGTGTGTGTGTGTGTGTGTGTGTGTGTGTGTGTGTGTGTGTGTGTGTGTCACTCTGTTATTCCACACATGCAGTAATGTGTCGCGGACGAACCTGGGTATTCCAGCCTGAAACCAAGGCGCTTTGCGTAGCTCTGCCTCCTCGCTTCGATTATTCAGGCTGTCTGTTCTCTCGGGTAAAGGCGGCGGGGTTGGCGTCGAGCCATGAGTACTTCCGTCAGCGGGCACCGAGCTGCTCGACGTGCTAATTTGCGATCTTCTTTTCGACTTGAATTCTGTTTCCGTGCCCGAACCCGGGCAATTGTGTCCTATCCTGAAAATGAAAGAGCCGTCATTCACGATTCACACCGATTCCTCCGCCGCCTTCCGCGGGGAAGAAGGAGCGGGAAGAGAAGAGAGAGAGAGAGAAAGAGAGAGAGAATGAGAAAGTGGCAACGGCCTGGCGACTCACCTGTTGTTCTCGATGTTGAAGTTCTTCGCGGTGATGGACGCGTTGATGGTGTTGTCGAGGCTCTCGGACGGCGGGATCTTGTTGTACGGCGGCCTCGTGCCCTCCGAGTCGATGATCGCCTCGTTTATGTAGCCACCGGAATGGGGCCTGTTCGATGGGCTGGTTGGCGTGCTGCTACCGCTGACGAGCGGGCAGCTGTCGTCCTCGCTGTTCAGCCCAAGAACGTCGCGTCCGCCTGTCAAACCCATCGCCAGCCGCTTTATCAGCGGCGGCTTGTCCGTTAGCCTCTTGTACGAATTCAGCTCCGTCGGCGAGTTGCTCTCATCGCTGCTCGGCGTGCTCTGCTGGGAAATGCTCTTCGGCTCATTCTCGTTCGTTATGGGCCCGAGGACGTTCGTGAACGACGGCCGCAGGCCGGGAATCGTGTTCGGCGCCTGGAATTCGAATCGATTCGTTGAAACGCGAGCTCGGGAATTACTCGCTGAAATTAACGCATCGATCGCTGATCCGTTTAATCAGTCCGAAACCTTTCCGCGGTGGCTGGTGTTTTACCCGATCTATGGTCCCTTTGAGTTACGCGCGCAACGCTTGATACGCGTCGCGCAAAAAGTGAATGAAACTACGGCGTGAAAAAGAAACGCGTCGCGGACGTGAAACTCCGTATTTTCATGTTAATTCGCTCTAAACTGCTGCCGGACGAATTAAAACTCATTTCCGCGCCCGTGCGTGATAAAACTGTTTTGCTCTCGCGACCAGCTCTCCGCACTTGTATGAATTCACCTTTACGCCGGCGAGTCGCAGCGTGGGCGAGCCGGCGCTGCCAAGCTGCACGTTCATGTCCGTTGCGGACGAACCCCTTCCAGTCCTGGAGGCGGGCGATGTCCGACTTTTCAGCCACGAGTTCGACGACGGACTCCTGCAAGCGCCCGCGGCGATCGTGTCGTCTCCGGACAGCGATTTGTTCTGCAAGCGAAAGCAACGATCGTTGTTAAAATTATACCTCAAATTATGTGTACTAAAAAAAAAAAAATCAGTCAATTACTTTCGCAAGATCGCACCAGAGATTCCAGTTCAATGCGTCATCATTGCTCTAAGCGGATCCAGGCGGATCAATCACGGAAGAATCATTAATCAAACGAAACCGTTGAAACCGTCGCGATCGTCCTGAGGATTCTCTTGAATGAATATTTGATCGGCAGAATCACGCGATTCCCAAGGCGACTTTGCGGCGGCGTCCATCGGACGGACTGTAGCGGACTGACCGTTTACTTGGAAACGCGACGCGACGCGGCGCGAGACGGTGAGCGAGAGACTCGGGTCGAATTTATAATTAACGCGGCCCGTAAACGGGACACCTACTGGAGTCGGCGGCCCCCGTGAGACCACGTCGAGAGGACACGGTCGTCGTCGTCGTCGTCGTCGTCGTCGTCGTTGTCCCTTTCGTCTCGCGCTTGGATATTTAAGAAGCTCTTCCGCGCGAGAGCCGCGCTCCGGCTGCTCCTTCGCTGGCGATATCCGCAGTACGCGTATTCCCAGTATTTACTTTAATATATTTCCGGAGCTTTCGTGCTTGTGCCATCGTGGGAAAAATTTTGCGACGCTCGAATCGAGCATAAATAGTTCTAGCGATTTCAATCCATTTCGCGAAACGAAATTTTCTCCAAGCGAAGACTCGCGATAATTATATTACATTGAAGTCAATTGGGAAGTTTCTCCTCCGATTTCCCGATCAATTGAATAATAATATTGCGTTGCGCGTAAATTTCTATAAGAAATATTTTAAAACTTCGGAGTTCTATTTCCTACGCGCTTATTTATTTTGCGCACGCTGTTGCGATACACAGCTCGACAAGAATAATCTTTAAGAAGATCCGAGAACTGTCCGCTAATTGCTAAAACTACGTAATTGCAATCTACGACGCTTTTGTGAGAAAACTAGCAGATGGCACGATATACTACCAGCTTGTAGAGTTGGGCTTGTGAAGTTTAACTTGACTAACTTGCTAGCTGGCGGCGACAAAAACAAATTACTTCATTAGCACTTTGAATTACACGCCCCTTTTCTTTGTTATTTACTTTACCGGAAAAAAAAAAAAATTTTTTCCTATTCCTCGCATTTTAGAACTTTCGTTAATTAAACGGCCAATTATCTGCTACCGCGCCAAGAGATATGTTTGACACGTACCCACGACGTGCGATGTTCCTGCTTGTCTTTGCGGTAAGATGATGTCGATCGCGGTGAGATTACATCCTGAAGGATTGGCTGACGCTGAAGCTGCGCCACGTACGCCATGCGGAAGGCATTGCCAACGATGGTATTCAGCTCCTCCGCCTGCAAGCAGACAAGGAAACTCAAATCCTCAACTTTATTTCATATATAATGCAGCAACAATAATAAAAAGCGCAAACTTTATGAAATTTTACTTGATTATCGCTCTAATATAATTGCCGCAATTTAATTCGCGGTGCAATTTCGCCATTTGCTGCTCCTAATTGTATAAAAGCTTAAATCTTTTCGTGCTTCGCGCAGCAAAATTAATCCAAGCAATTAATTTTTCAGAAAAAGATTTTCTTTCGAATTATTCAAGATCAAGCGAAGATACCTCTTCAAGTTTTTACTTTACTTGCAATTAGCAGAAATACAGCCAAATTGATTTTCTTCCGTGTTGTGCTTAAAAATTACAGTAAAGATAGTCTGCAAAATTTACAGCATCTATTTTTTATTCCTTCCAAATAAATGTCCACGCGCTATTTTATGGAGCAGAAAAGGAAACCCGAATGTTGGGATTAAAATTCGATCGTACTATCAAGAGCGGTGAATACAAAGTAGATAGGAAAACTAGCGGGAGCCCGGGAGTAATATTTTAGCGAGAGATCCGATAAATTTGGAAAGCGCGTTACACAAAATAGGGTCTTCGTTTCACATCGGGCCAATTAGATTTTTAGAACCGCCGGGCGGTGGCGAAGGAGAAACGTCCGGTTGAAGAGCAGACGCCGCGGTTGCAGCGCAAGCGTGTACATCTGAATGTGTAATAAGCACTCGCGGGGAGCCGCAAGCCCCGGCGCAAGCCTTCGCTCTCGTGTGCGTCTAGAAAGCTTCTGGCTGCACATGCCTCACATTTGAGCCCGATCCAGATACGGATCGCCCGTGAATGTGTGTGCGCGCGCCCCCGCGCCGACGAGGAGGAATATATAACCGGGAATGGGAAAAAGGTCGGACGAGAGGGTGCGGAAAGGCTATCTTTCTCCTTTTCGAAAGCTCGCGGTGAAAGCCGCGACGCGGCGCGTATTAATGCACACCGGTCGGCCGACGAGGGGCTAAAGGGTCTAAGAGGAAGCATTGTGCGCGCGAGCGTAGAGGCGGACGAGAGCGAGCGATTAACGTCCCGTCCGTCTCTAACTTTTCCTTTCACGGCGTTACAGCCGTGGCGCGCCCGCGAGAGAGCGAGATCCGCCGAGGGAGATATTCAATCGTTTCGCGTCGTCGAGTACGCGTACGTCTCGGATTCTAACTCTCGCATTCCCCGCCCAGCGGTGGGTATCTCCGCCTATGTATCCATCCCCGTGACATTGTTAGGACATTGTTGCAACCGGCGCGGAAATCTCTCTGCATCCCCCGCTCGAGTTCCGCGCCGTAGGCGGGATATGCATTCCTCGAGTCGCGGAATCCGCTCGCGGAAATGCAAACGAGAGACAGGGCTGTAAAGCCGGAGCGCGCGTCGCCGTACTTTCCAATAAATGCTATATTGATCTGCAAAAGCCGGCGTCGCTAAATCCCGTCTCGGGGCTCACGGCGGATATTCATTGACATTTAAAATGCTCGTCGAGCATGTCGCGGAGACAAAGCGAAAGGGTACGCGCAACGTAAGAGAGAATAATGCGTTTTAATGATACGCGCTCGTGCGGGACAACGGCGGAACCCGAAGCTTTTTAGATTAAAACGCACGGCAGCGCGGCTTACTCGAATAATTTCATGGTTTGCGGTTGAGGTCGGGTCGAATGATTCCACTAGGAACGAGATATTTCAATTACGCTTGCACGCGGAGAGCAAGGCAATGACTCGGACTATAATTGCGGACCGGGCGCACGACCGTTCCGTAACTCGCTAAGTCATAACCGAGCACTCACTTCCGCTCCGCACGAATCGCCCATGTGTGCCATAAAGATCTTTCCGTTTATGCGCAGCGATATACGCGGGACTTTAATTGCGGGTAAGAAGAATGGATATCGTGTACATTTGACTATATTTTCACATCGCGAAAACGAGATGCGATATTAACGTCGAAATTGTATCGCTGATCGGAACATCAACGGAAATTACTCGGTTCGATTTTTTATTTCATAAAAAAAAAATCGTTCAATTCTTCCTTTTTGAAGCAGATCGCAATCCCCCCTTTCGAATATGTTTCTGCTATCACACAAGCGCTAATGGACGCTGAATATCCGACGGCGCAAATAGATTTCTCGCTGCCATCTCGATTGCAACGATTTAAAATTGATTTAAAATTGATACACAGTAGAATTAATGTACCCGGCGGCTCTATTAACTTCTCATTGACTCCGGTATCTCTATTGATCGCGTATTGTGCGCGCGCGAAGCAGACGCGCGAGGCCAAGCGAGATATCATCAATGAAAACGTAGCGCGGATCCAGACGCGCGCATTCCACGGCGTGGGAAAATCCGGGGGACTAATTTATCGTGGGGAAGAACACGTTCCTCCCATCAACGCCATGCCTCACGGAAACGTGAAAGAAAACGTTCCGGCGATGGAGATTACTCGCTCACGAGTGGACCAAAGGATCGTGTCATAGAGCAGAATTTATCGTCGCCGTGGGCGGAACTGCTCGCGCGCGGGGTCGAACACCATAACTTCGAACCCCGTTGGTCGACAATCGAAAATACGGCCCTGAGATTCCCGCCCCGAGGTGGAATTTAAGCGCGATGAAATCATCACCAGCGACTCTTCTTTCTTCCTCTCCGCTCCATCCCGTCCTGGACGTTGACTCGAGCAGGCACTGACCCTCTTCACAGTGTTTGGATTCAGGTCCGATCGACCGATCGATCGACAGCGATCGATCAATTGCGTAAAACTTGATCGATATCCCTCGTTCCCCCTCTCTCTCTCTCTCTCTCTCTCTCTACATTTTTTGCATTACAAACGTGAAATTTTGCGCCCGAAGAATTTCAAGATCTAGCGTGAAAACGTGTGAGAAAAATTTTCAAATACCGAATAACACACGTCAGAATGTTGGACTTTGGAGAGAAAAAAATTGCAGTTTTGGGAGGCTATTTAGTTCGCTTTAGTTCATCTCGATTCGCGCCGGTGACTCCGGCACGAAAGGACGAGGGACACGAGGAATTGGATGGGAGGAGAGGACCGAAAGGGCGATGGATCGCGCCGCGGCTTTGCGCCGGTGCAGCGTGACGGGCTACATTCCAAGCATTCCGCGCGGTCACGGCCATATCTCCAGCTCCTCTAGATTTCCCGTCCCTGTGTACCCTCCGGTCTACCAATACCACCGGCTCGCCGGTGCACGGCCGGTACTCGCAATAATGGCGTACGGGGTAGGGATGGCCCTCATCACACTTCTGAATTTCCCTCGCCTTCGGTTTCTGGTTTACCTCGACGATGCTCGGCGGCCGCGGATAAACGGTCGGCGAGGAAAAGTTCCAGAACGTAAGGACATTCTCTCTCTTTCTCTCTCCTTCTCTCCGCGCCGGGTATCGTTATTGCACTGAATATAGCAACCGCCCACCATCGTCGCTTCGCTGGCTTCGCCAGCGTCATCGACGGAATCGGCACAACTGCGCCTTCACATCGCTTCAAATTGTCACCCTAATTCCACGTCTTCCTCGTTTGTCACGTTTCCTTCATCCGCGCGCGTTCCAGTAACCTCCCGCAGTCTTATGTCTGCACGTGGGAATGCTATTGAGCCCGCGGAAAATGACATTGTCGAAGTAAATCCTACGGGCTTGCGATATCAGTTGTGCCGTTCTCACAAATGTTGGTCCAAGTTAACAGAGGCTTAACTGATTCCCTGTCATCTCTTCGAGGCTGCGGAGAGAAACGAGATCGCGCGCTCAAGACTGTCAAGCGCGATCGAGGCGAATGAAGGTTAAAATGTATGAACAAGCCGCCGCCGCCGGCATCCCGGATCTCTGCTCGTGACGGGTAGGCTAGTTTCGAATACCAAATATTCGATATCTCGAGTCACACCGTTACGCGCCGTCGTATCGCTACGATCTCACTCACTCCGCGTGCGCGCTTGCTAACAAAATAATCGTCATAACGTTCGTCATGATTACGCGCGTTACGCCCGCGATGTCTGAAATTAACTCCGGAAATTAAATTAGAATGAATTCAGAGAAGAACGTCTTTATTCCGAAGGGAGCGAATTCACGTTTGCATTCAATGCATTTGATGAAAACGCGGAGCACCCGCTCTCCCTTTATTCTGTTTATGAATGTCAGGAATCGATCTCGTTTGCGTGAAAAGAAATTATCATTTAAATAGCCGCGGAGAGAGATGGAAAGCAAAAATTAGCGGCAATAATTTTGATGGTAAATAGCTACGCGCTTTTCGGACTCTGCAGGCCGGAAATGGGGAGGTTATACAAGTCCGTTGGTGTATAACGCTGGAATATCGTTTGACCGTGTGGCACTTTGTTCGGCGTAACGTGAAATCGGTCGAAGATTGGATCGAATATAGTCGGAGGGATGCGTCGGTCAGGGAGCGCAGATGAAGCACGACCATTGCATAATCTCTCTTTGATCAGCAATTAACGCTTAGCGACTGGAGTATGCTGGTGGTTCCATCTGTTCCACATCTAACAGCTGCGACACCAAAATATTGCAATTACGGTTGCTGATTTATTTAATCCCCGTTACGCGGCCAAATCCAGTTATTTTACCGATTTTTTAAATTTCAAACCGCGACTCGACACTTGTCCCCGTCGAAATTAATGCTATAATCCCGATCGGCGGCAGCTGAAACCGTCAGTTCGACGCAAGTTCTTTTTACATTTTTGATATCGACAGTTTTTGATTTTTATCTATCTAAAAATGTATCTTGATTCGAAAAAATCGCTTTCGTTTCTAAATAAAGAAGAACGAATTATCGATCAGTTATTTGCTTGAAATTAAAACACCGCTCGCGCGCCGATTAAAAGTTTTAAAAGCTCGAGCTAAAAGGAAAGAGTCGTGCTCGCGATAATCTAAGGACAACGTTTATGTTTCGACCATCGAATTAAATCTCCATCATGCCAACTTGTTCTTGTTAAAAGATTATTAGCGTGGAACCCACGTGCAGTCGCAAGGGCAGCCGAAATGAGCGACGTAGCTTTGATTGGCTTTACTCGCGCGGTAGATCGGCGTGGCTTATCGCATGAGGGTCCTCGACAATGAGCGGCGAATTTAACGACGCGGTGATGCGTGAATCGTGCATCACAGTAGGACAATACGCCCACTTTGTGGCCCGTACAGTTTGCTACTGTACCCCAGAGCCTCGTCATTAAACGTATTTCGGTGCCTCCAGAAATGCACCCTCGAGAATGCGACGCGACGCGACGCGCGGGGAGAAATACTTCGTTTCAAATTTCTCGCTGCTTGAATTTCTTCCTTATCGTATGCGCGATTCTCAATGGTCCGAAATGCATACGCGCAACGGAGCGTTGCTGTGCATTCTTAGAATCGTCATCGCTTCCTGGTATTAAATTATTAAATCGAATAAACAAGTGATTGGTCATCGCTGCGAAACAAGTGTGTTCGTGAAAGAGATTTCTAAGAAATAAATTGATATAATCACATAGCATGATTCATTCGTCACTCTCTTGTGATGCGAAAACATTAAAACTATTTCAAACGCGTTTGTTTTTTTCGATTGTCTTCAAATCCCGCGGCTTTCCTTCTCTTTTCGATCTGGAAATTATATCGGAACGTGTTGCTTATGCTAACAGACAATATAATGCTAATTTCATGATCGGATTTAGCTCCAATCGATTAAGTCGTTACACATCGCATTAATCTGTAATATGCATTACGCATATACTGGGGTAATCTGTATGTTCTCCGTTGCGTAAGTCAATCAGCCTCCATTATCTATGGAGAGTGCTACACCCATGTAATATTCGCGCTCGATTGTCGAGTCTTCAAGACGTGCGTTACACGTAAAAACGCGATATTGATCCACTTATCGCGCGCGAACGCATGAGCTTTTCATCGAAGGAAAATGGATTATCTTCTCGCGAATGCTGATCTTTTACTACTTCCATATTTCGATATTATTCGAGAAGCAATCGTATCTTTTTCTCGCGAAATGATAAAATATATGTCAATTTATAGCATACATTTGTGCGATCACTAAAAATATTCCAAATAATTTTAGCATAAATATTTTGCCAGTGGATTTTTCTAATAATATAATTTAATTTAAAAAAACATGAAAATGACACTCTAATAAATGGATTATTGAAAAATACGAGCGCGCAGTTTAGTCTAAAAAAATTTGAAGCATATATATTATCGTGTTAAAATAATAGACAATAAAAGTATAACAAGCATTAGAGAATTGGCTTTATTGAACCCGTGAGAAGGAGAGTTATGCAACGTTGAATTTTTCCACGTGAATAACTATGATTATTTCTCCGTCGGGAGTGAAATAAAAGATAAAACCGGAAGTAGATTCGCACGAATGACGTAGCATAGTGGTAGTTACATCATGCATCATACACACAGAGAGGAAGAGCATTGCCGACGCTAAAAGTGGTTGACATATGCGTTCAATGCGAGGGGCGATGCACTCGATGCGTTCGATTCGAAACACAACGCATGGACATTGGCATCGCGCGATGTCATTCTTGGCAGCGAGCGCGCTTGCGAGCGTAATCATCGCGAAATAGCATTTCACGGCGTTCACCTGGAATCACCGTGGAGAATCCAAATTGCAAATCGCGTAAATAGCCGCGTATGTCGAGCGCGTTTGTCGAAAAAAAAAGTCATCGCCATCACGGATTTTTCGCGACTGTTCGCTTGCTTCCTCGGTAATAGGCGCTAAACAAAACTGCACGCTCACGGCACGAGAGATATGGACCTCGACAATATTTGTCGTCCATGTCTACGCGTCCCGCATATCACAGAGTCATCGCGTCAGTTGTCCAATTTGATTGGCAGAGTTTACGGAGGAAAAAAAAAAAATGATCGTCGGTAAGAATCGAAGTATACGTCGTATAATAAAACGTTAAGACGGCACATCTGCTCTCCACGAGCCGACAAAACCGGAAGGAGGCGGCCGATCCGAGTGGTATGAAAAATCAATGACGAAGCCATTACAGAGTCCTTCAACCGGGAACTAACGTGTTATTGAGAAGCTACCAGGTATAACCCCTCCCCCCGCCTAGCCTCGAGAGTTCATATTGTACTTGGAGTCGCTATGAGATGCCTTGGGACGGTAATGGGCCACCTTTTGTGCGAGACGCTCTATAGATGTCGAGAGAAATTCCGCAACGTTTTACGCAACATGGTATATAGCTGCTCGCCTTCTCCCCGTCTCTCTTTCTCCCGCTCTCGATTTTTTTCATTGGAAACATCTTCGTTTCGGTCGACTGTGTCGGTCGCGCTGAAAGCGGGGAATCCGGGACGAACAGAGAGTTGCGCGGAATCACCTGGGCTTCACAAATAGTGAACTCGCTCGGGAGATCATTGGAAACTCGTCAAATTCGGACGGCGCTTTGTGAATCTCGCTGCGAAGGACTTCGGCCTTTGTGCGCGGGTCACGGCGGGTCGACACGAATTATGATTTTCTATTGTGAAGTCAAGAGGAACTCGCGGAGGGATGGTGGTTTTCGTAAGCGGGATTTCAAAGCTCCTCGCTCGCGTATCGCTTTGGCGACAATGCGAGATAATCTGGGCGCAGCTGTATGCCATGGTGACTAATAATATATGCGAATCCTTGCGCGCGCGTTCTCAAATGCAAATTTTATTACGTTATTAACATATGCGACCAGCTGAGAAAAGGAAAACTTGTCCGAATTTTGGAAACCCTTAATTTCTCAATTTATCGTTTCAATTGAAACCAGCTGCGGTTCGACTTTAATATTCATGAAGATTTTTGAAAGTTGACAACTTCCGTCTAAATTCCCATGATTTTCGAAAAAAGTGCGTTTCTCCGAAAAATGTCGTCGCGAATAAATATCTGTGAGGATAATGATACGGGTACGTATATCTCGTCGCTGAAATATCAATGCCATGTAGACACTCCATCGGTAAGGAGGCAACGGACGAAGCAGCGAGGCATCTCGCGCTACAAGCAGCTATATGAAGCCGAGGAATGCGTTCGTCCGATCCCACGGCTTATCCCCCTTCACTCTCCCTTCCCTCGTTAGCTCTTTTTCTTTCTGGTACGATAGTAGTATTACCGGGCTTAGGCTTTCTCTCTCTCACTCTCCTCCGTGCGCGTTCTCTCGGACTCCAGTATGCAATCTACCGACGCGATGGCTCTCTTTTAGCAGATCCTGGAATGCGACTATCAAACGTCGTTCTATCTCTGTCCGATCTTCCTCAAATATTGAAGAAGCGGGTAAAATATGCCGTACTGACAAATGAGATAACTTTAATGAAAAGAAAGGTCATTAAAAAATTTAATGACGGAAGGAGGAATAACTTTAATCGACAAGAATTTAGAAATTTGGGTAGTCTTTGTCGTATATCGTATTATTTAAAAAAATTTTTTTTACGCATATATTCGATATCGTACTTGACAGGGGCGCGCTGGAGATATATCAAATATGAAAAACTGATACGCTCTTCCTTTTAATGATCATGTTTCATGCTGGTGAAACAGAAGGACCGTTTTCCTCTGTTTTTTCGTCGCTGCACCGACCGCATCTCCGGAGGTCATATTACGGTACCGCGACCTAATCGCGATAATATGGCAAGAGGTAAAGTCTATGCCGCGAAGTCAGGATATTCAGATCATTTCATTATGTATATCACTGGGACTTGGCGCTCATTATCGCAGAAATCTTTCTACTCGGCGAAAAATAATATTTGAAAATCAATTTATCCAAGTGTTGGATTGAAGAAAAAGTTAAAGGAAAAACTGTGTAAGAGAAATCGCGAATTGAAAATGATGGAAACTATGCGCAATGCGCAATTTACGTTGCAGACGGCTACGTGCGCGATACACGATTGAGATTCGCGCAATTAAGCTCCGCAAGCACTTACTTTGAGCTTCTGAGTGTGACCGCATCGACAACAGCAATACGACATGTAATCGGGTAGCGCGGGCATAAATTTCAACTGCTCCTGCTGCGAATACTCGTCCACGAGTTTGCGATAATGCACCCTGAAAATAGGCCTCGTTGCGCTCTGCGAGCCTTTGCCGAGGCGTCCCATAATCGCAGAGAATGCGGCCAGGATATTGCGCCTGCGTGCAAGCCTCCTCATGCCACAGCGACCGTTGTACTTGCTCGTCCTTCCGAATCGCGCCTTCGTATCCCCGGACACCGATAGGAAAATACTTTCTCTCCGAGCACTGACCGCGCACGTAGAGAGAGAAAAAAAAATCAGCCCTTGTTTAAACTTAAACGGTGAAGCAGCGATCTGTCGCGTTGCGTCACACGCGGAACAGGCCGCATCGCCTTCGCACAGTTCACGTCGGCTCCGTTCGCACTTTTAATATTAATATTCCACACATTTCTGGGAAGAGGTGGGGATCACACATTCACGACACCACGCAGCACACTTTCTAATGCACGAAACACCGGCGGCGCGTCGGCACGCTAAAGTATTTACTTTGTCGGGTGCCTTTCTCCGAAGATATTCCTACGACGATGCCGGCCGCTATCGCGGGCCGGGCACCTCTTGAAATCACGAAAGAATCCATTTACATCTCATGCAGCGCGCAGCGGTGAGCGCCCCATCCTCGGCTAATGCGATCGGGAACGCTGATATCCGTCGGTGGCGCGAGAGAGCGCCGAGACGGCGCGTTCATCCCGGATTTTCCAGCGTTTTCCGCGAGGATTTTCGTAAATTCGTCGCGCGGCGGCTTCTCTCGCGGACTCGTCGCGGCGGTCGGTTCGAGTCGCCCACGACGTAAGCTATTATTAGCAAACGATGATCGCGATGTCATGGATCAGCGACGGGACCAGTTCTGCCGGCAGTTTCACACGGCATGCGACACACGCATGAAGGATCGTGAGTTCCACTTGCGATGGCGTGCGTAGTCCTCGCGCTACGTGTCGCTCTGCATGCCGGACCCGCGGAAACCGGTTAACGAGTACACCGAGCTACTTCTCGCTTCTTGCACGTCGTCTGTCAACTGTATATGCGCGCACAGTACAGCTACGACTCTTGCACATTGCGTTTTCCGGCGGATTCTGCCGCAGGACGATCTCCATTACCGGCGTCGGGATCACATCCGATACCTGAGCGCATTCTCAGGTGCCGCTTCACAATTGTTCCGGAATGCGTCCTCGAGAGAAGACCCGACGAATATATCCTTGGAAAATTTCTCAATAAATTTTATACTTTTCGCGACACGCGAATCGTCGCGCGTCCTCTTCCCTTTCGCGACTCTTAATTATACCTTCGGAATGCTTAATTACACCGTATCGTCATGCGTTCTAATTTGCATGGCATTCCAATGTCACAGCCTTTCACTTTTTCGCTGGCCGAGTAAGTCGGGCGCGCACCATCGCGGAAGCGGAAACTCGCGGAGGGCCGGGAGGGTCGCGCCGTTCGTTGAAGTTGGACGATTTAAAGCGCGCGCGAGCCCGGTCCACGCGGTGGACCTTTTTGCCATCAATCGGAGAAGAAGCTACGGGGCCAACTTCGCCGGCGAAGATTCCCGTCCCTTCCTCTCTCTTCTCTCTGTTCGATGCACGTTGGCGGTCCGCCGCCGCCGCCGCCGCCGCCGCCGCCGCTGCCGCCTGCCTCTCGAGCGGCCGGAGCACGCGAAGCCGTAAGAGACTGGATGCCAACGTGCTTAACCGAACCGGCGATGGCAATACCTCCCGGTACGTATAGTGAGAGACTGAGAGTCCATGAGGAACACGAAGCGAGAGCGGCTCCGCTCCGACCGGCCCACACGGTTCTCCATCCCCACCGCATTTCTCTCGTCGAGGAACGGAGCGGTGCGACCGACCGACCGACCGCTTTCTTGCTTCAACCGCGGCATTGAACACGTTCAACGGCAGCTGTTGAATACCACGTGTCCCCGTTCTCCCTCTCACCCGCGCTGTCCCTCGCCGCCTCTCTCTTTCTATCCGCCGGCGCGCCGGCGTCTCTTTCCTCCTGTCCGGCCGGACGCTCTCTTCATCTCTGTCGCGATCTTTTCCG